TTTCTCCATTTGGTCAAAATCCTGTCTCGAAAGTAAAGAATTTTCAATAGCCACTGAATTAGAAATAGTAGGCATATTGTTAAGCATATCATCAATCAAAATAAAGAGTTTAGGATCACTTTTAGAAACGTTAGTGGTAGAATCTAATAAAACCTCATTCGTAGTAGTTAAAGCATCCACAGACATATCCTTATCACCATCTTCCACTTTACCGTTATCTTTCAAAGTATCAATAACTTCCACCTGAGCCAATTGAGAAGTAGAAGGCGGTTCCACCTAACTAATATTACCTTCATTATGATCAAGTATAGGAAAATAGATTTCTTTATTCTCAGTTGAACTAGGATTCCAGTTATTATGAACAACAGGCTTCTTAAGTTCCGGGTTAAGTTTAAAGCAATCAACTTGGGCATGACCATGAATTTTACAGTGGTTACAAAATTCAGGAACTTTTTCAAATTCAACCTTTTGCAAATAGCCATAAGCCTTAGATCCGACCCAGACTTCCTTAGGATGTTTTTTAGAGATGTCAACTTCCACCAGCACTCTAGCCACAAAATGACGGGTCCTTACAGCAGTAGCCTGATCCGTTTGAAGCGGCCTCCCAAAGATAGAACCAAGAGCATGCAATACTTTAGAGTTAAAAAAATGTAATCGCAGATTAGGGAATGAGATCCAAACCGGCACGATAGGAGATTCCTCCTTAATATCAAAGAAAGGAGTCCACTTTAAAATGCGCATTTGACAATTATAAATGAAATAGGAACGTCTAGCAAACACCTTACTATAATCAAGATCATTTGATAATTGAATAGCCACATGTCTAGAATCCAACAGACCCACCGAATAAAAACCAGTAAGCTTGAGAGAAGAAAAAAAATTTCTTATAGCATCAAGATTCGATTGTCGGACACCAAACTTACCCACCAAAGTGAATTGAAAAGGCGAAGCTAGTTTTAGAACTTCTTCATCTGAAAGAAGCACAGCCGGAAAACCATTAAAAACAGATTGCTGGA